AAAAAAAACATCGGAAGCCCTCTTTATTCCTATTTATACAAATGGTTATCCATGGTTAGTGGTTGGATCGTTGTTCGTTTCCAATCGCTTTTAAGGACCCACTAACTCACTGGTGACGGTAGTTTCCTTATTTTCAAACGTTGAAACGACCAGGGGACGAGACATCTGTCAGAACCAATTTGTCTCACAAAAGTTATACAAAAACACACAAACCAGTAAGTCACAATGTTCAACACGACTTCTTCGCTCTTAACTAAGTTAAGAGCCTACACAATTTTGGTTTCTGATAAAATTTAAAACACAAAGTTTTCATTTTTACAGTGTAATTTGTTTCAACATGACACCGGTAGTTTCTTATAATTTCCACTGGGCTTTTTCCCCGGAAAGTAGAACGCGGTTGGCGCCAGAAACTGACCCCATTTGCACGTGCCTTAGTTTCGACCTCTGTGTTGTTCCAAATAGCAATATATACTTTTACATTTTTTCTCTATGAGGAAAAAAAGGAGTATAATGAAGCTGTCAACTTCAAGGCTTCTCTCGAAGTGGATCTCATTAACGTCTAATTCCTTTAAGCATCACGCAAGTTTTATTATTAATACAAATACACCAGCTTGCTTTTCTAGAACATACACATTCTTTAGCAAGAAAATACTTTGAATTTTGATGACTCATTCTTCATCTGCTTACCTTTTGTAGAATGGTTAAAATGTAAAATCTTCTGGATGTATTCTTGACTCTGGTGCAGCAGGGAACTGTCGAACTGAGCCGACTGTAAAACGAAACTGAGAAAAGTAAACTGTCTGGATAATGTTCGCTTTGGGAAAATTCAAGGGGGGCGTCAATAAAATTGATTGCTATGCTTATAGATGTGAACAAGCTGTCACTTCTTTACAATAGCGTGCTCAATTATTGACTTAATGCGGAGGCTATTAAAACGTCATGTCAAATAAAGGCTCTTTTAATTTGTCCAGCTGTTTTTTGTCAGCTACTATGGTTTTTAGAGGGGGGGGGGGGGGG